AAGCTGTAATTGCAACAGTTGAGATGGACTGTATCATATTGTTATTCCATGAAAGAACACCTCGCCTGGCTGGCAGGCTCAGTAGTTGAGTGTTGACCTATGAACCAATGTCGGGTTCAATTCCCAGTCAGGGCACATGCCCTGTTGCCCAGGTTTCATCAGGATCCCCAGTAGGGGGTGTGCAGGAGGCAGCGGATCAATGATTCTCTCTCACCATTGATGTTTCTGTCTCTCTCCCTCTCCTTTCCGCTCTGAAAATAATAAAAAATAATATATATATATATTTTTTTAAAAATCTCTAGGGTTTTTTTGTCCATATCTGCAGTCATTCATATTTTATGTTTCTCCTAGAGGCCCGGTGCACGACATTCGTGCACTGGGAGGGTCGGGGAAGTGGGTCCCTCAGTCCGACCTGTGTCTTTTAGCAGTCCAGGATAGCCTTAGCGCTGCCACAGAGGCGGGAGAGGCTCCCGCCACCACTGCTGCACTCATCAGCCGTCAGCCCAACTTGTGGCTAAGTAATGCTCCCCCTGTGGGAGTGCACTGACCACCAGGGGGCATCTCTGCTTTGAGCATCTGCCCCCTGGTGGTCAGTGCACATCATAGCGATCGGCTGCTCCACCATTCGGTCAATTTGCATATTAACCTTTTATTATATAGGAGAGTTAGATTTTTGGATTGAATTTTTTCTCTCGTAACTTTTATAACTTAAGTTTGGTTCATTATCCTATTATATTCAGCATTCCTCCATTGATTGGATGGTTAAGACGGCAATCAAAGTTTATAAATCTATGTCACTGTACCATATAACCAGATCATAATACAACATAGCATAGAATTACAGAAATTAACAAGAGCTTGCCAAGTCTCTTGGGTTTACTTGATTTCCCTGTCCTGCGATCCTCTAAGAAGATAAAATTAGTTTTGTCATAACTAATTCTTAGAAAGCTTAGTTGCTTTCTAGACATTACTGGTTCCTTTCTAAGTGCTCTCAAAATATATTTTAATAATGTGATCTAGGCTCTAAAAACAATGAACGCAAAGTGGTTTTCAGTTGCCACAAAGTCCCCATTAAAATTAGGACTCTCTTTCCTCTAGATTTTTAGGCTCCTCCCATTTTTTGCTTCTGAGGTTATCATTTGTGTTTCATTAATTATGTATCATTTAAGAGTTCTCTTACTGTCTTAAGATCACCAGGAGATTTGAGCTCATTCAGAGCCTCCTAGTTCTCTAACAATTATCTTCACCTTTATTAGCCTTCTTTCTTAATAATATTTTAGGATAGAGATAATTTGCTCTGAAAGAGAAACTTGAAATAAAATGACTTGAAGAAGTATGCACAGAGAAATCAAATTGCATGAAGAGCATGGAAAATGAATGCCTAAGTGTGAGTCTACTTAACAAAAACCTAGTAGCTATGAAGATGATAAGTTGAACAGGTGTGGAATGCTACAGCTGGAGCTGTGACTGAGCCTTGAAATACACAAAATAACATGAGACCATTTTTTTTTTAATGTTTAGCCAAGGCAAGATCTCTTTGGGCACTGAGTCCGGTTCTTGGCCTCCTCATCAACAGCACTTGTTAAAAAATAAAATTGGCCCAGCACAAGTGTAAACACGCATGTGTTTGAACAGTATAACCTCTGATCAGAGGATCAGCTAAGAGAAAATGAAGGCCCCTCCTGTGAGTACTTTTTAGGTTCTGAAGGATGAGCCTGAGATAATATCAGTGTGTTACATAGTCATTTAGGTTGTCAATCAGTTGAACATGAAAGAGGCCATTCCCACCGCCCTCTGAATATCATGAGCCCTCTGATTATTCATTCAGTCCACAGATATTTTTGGCCGAAATTGTAATGTGCCAGACAGTGTGCTTGGTAAATACTGGAGGCACAAGAAGGCAGATGTGGTTCATGCCCTCGAGAAGTGATGGCGTGTCCCATGCAACATGTGCCTCCTGTAGATGGTTAGCAATAGTGACCACAGTTACTTCTCTCCCTATATCCACACCCCTTTGCAATGTGACAGCGGCCTCTACCATCCATAGGCAGAGTCTGTTTGCCACCCCTTGAATCTCAAACCTGTGCCCACCGTGCGAACAAGCCTGGGCTAGCTGCTGGAAGAGGAAGGTCTGCGTGGAGCTCACCATTCTTCCTGTGGGCATCCTCGATCCGCTAGTTGACAACTGATCTAGAAGAACTGTCCAGACCACTGCGGCCAAATTACTGCTCTATAGACTCTCAAACTAAAAAAAAATGGTCCCTTTAAGCTACCGAATTTTTAAAAAGACTTGTTATGCAGCCAAAGCCGACTGACAGCTCTTCACCATGTAAGTATGATTCAGAGTTTATTTTGGGTCCAGAATTTTCTCATATGGCTTATCCAATTACCTTGATAACTGCCAACTCTCCACTTCACTTTGCGCTGTATGGGCATGGTCTCAGGGTACAGTTGTCAGAATACAGACACCCTGGGAAGGTTTGATATTGGCTCTCTGATCTGCAGGATATGAAGTTGGCTAATGTGCTTGAGATGTGACATATACCGTATATTTCTTGGAGAAAACACAAGTACACAAGCAGACACAAACATCTACAACAATACAAACTTCAAACAAGCAGTTAAAAAGTTAATGCAAATCCAGTTAGCTTTGTTTCCTAGCATAATGGCTCAGGATGTTTAAAAACACACACACAAAACCCCCACACACAACAACCTGTTTGTCACATTCTGAATTTGAACAACAAATCCACTATGTCCTACAGACACTGCCATAAAGTCTCTGATTTCTCCTTCAAATAATTTTATTATTTTGATGTATTATTGAAACTCTCACCAAAGGCTGATGTATCCTTCCAGATGTCTGTGTAACTGCCTTGATTCTAATGATCACATTAGTGGCGATTAGTAAAAGGATCTTTGATTTATCTTAATTTTCGAATATGTCAGAGTGTCTTTTCCTCTTTTCCTGGCAGCCGCTCACGCTTTGTCCGGCTCTCCCAGCTGGGCATTTTGGGAAAGCAGCCAATTCCAGGGCTAATGTGTTTCTGCAGTGATCTGACACTGATGCTGTTTCATGGGGGCAGCAATGGAGATAAGCGCTAATTGGATGCATTTTTAAAGCAAACCTTTTAGTTACTTAGAACAGAGCTTCCCCAATTAGCTTCCTCTCTCCTCTCTCTGGCTATGCAAGAACCACAGTGATGTGAAAACACTGGGTTTGGAAGGCAGTCAAGGGCACTGCCCAGGGCCACTGAAGGACAGTCATGCTGAAGTCAGGGGAAACGCTCCAGCAGGCAGCTGGGGGCTGAAGTGCTGGGAGAGCAGGGTGAGTGGAGGACACTGGGAGGATCAGATGTGACAAGAGTCCCAGGCAGGGGGACAGTGGCCCAGGGTACACTACTGACAGCCACACCCTAAAGTGCCAGAAAGCAGAGGAAAGGTGTGGGCGGGCACTCAAGGAGAGAGAACCAGTGTTTTATAATGGCCGTCTTGGTCTCCAATGGAAGTATTTTGCTTCAATGGAACATATTTCAACTTTAGAACTGAGGCTTTTAAATTGCATTCTTTAATATGTTATCCCCAGGTTGAAGAAAATCTATTTAAATCCCTGCCCTCTTTAAGTTACTTGCAAGCTTTTGATAGCTGCCCAGAAGGAGAGCTGCTTAGGAAAGGAGGCAGGTTTGAAGGTCTTGATGTGGAAAAGAAATCAGAGAAAAGATGCAGGGTAGGAAACCATTTCTTTCTGGCTTTTATTTCTGAGATGGATTCAGAAGTGAGACATAATAAGTTAATTTCGCTTTGGTTGGAAGTGAGTCTGCCATCATTATCTCATCCTCTCTGGGGGTTCCAGTTCCTGTGTTCCTTTCAGCATTATTTAATAGCAGGGGCATGAGGATTAATGACCCCTCTGGGCCACAGGATTGCATCAGTCCCGTGGTCAATTAGGAAGGGTGAGTCTGGGTTTGGCTGGGTGGCCGCAGTGGGGATAGTGAGGTGGGCGTGGTGGGGAGACAGCGGAGAGGAGGCAGCTAACTCTCCCTTCCTCTCCTGCTATTCTCTTTCTAGTCCTTGTTATGGAACCATCTGTCCCCATAGGCCCACCCCTGGCCCTAAGAACTTTATCGGAGCTTCTGACTCAAGAATGTACTCTACAGGAAGTTTGAATTTGAGTTCTGGGTTATAAAATTACACAAGCTGTAAATTTTGGATGCTGGCACCATTATATGAAAATTTATTTAATTAACCGCAATAATGACTTGATATGCTTGATTTACTTTAAAGGCCAGACTCTAAACCAGTGGCTTCCTAAGCTAATATTTAACTTAGAGATGGATTTTTCTCTTTCCTCCTTTTTGATTCCTTATTTAATTGTAAGATTGTGCATAAATGTTGAATCTTTCACGCAGACCATCATCTATACTCTTCTGCACCTAGGAATACATCTTCCAGCACACCATCCTTCCTCATTTTGTTCTTTCTTTCCTCCTTTGCGGTGACACTGATTTGCTGGGAACATCTTGTACCTGTCACCAGAGTCAGCGAAGTGCTGACCTTTCTATTTCACCACAGAACCAGAGCAGGCCTGGCTTTTGAGAAGTGACAGGGATATTGGAGCGATATGCATAAAATACATGACATTGCTGGGGGAAAATGAGGAGAATTCTAGATCAGGGTCACTTCCACAATCTGCTAAGAGTCGTTCATTTTGAAAAGAAGACAAGGCTGTGGAGATAATGATTTTTAGAGGCTTTACAGGTTTCTAGTTGTCAGGTCTCTACTATAAAGGAAAAATGCAAATATACAGAGTTCGGCTGATAAATGAAGCGCCCCTCCAATACAGTGGGCAAAGTTTGCTCCCCTCCTCCCTCTATGTTCATGCTGAACCCCAATCTCCTTGTTACTGGTCTCTTTCTAATGGGTTGAATCTTGGATTGGTACAAAGCTCTATCATTTCATATCATCCCCAGTAAGTGTACCCAATTCTAGAAGCTGCGTACCTGATGGTTAGTCCTATCCACTGTGTTGGCCGTGGAGGGGTGGTCTCTAGTGTTCTGACGAATTCGAGTGGAGTTCTGCTGCTCAATGGTGGAGGAAGTTGGGATACAGAACTCTCTGAAGCATCGCTTGAAGTTTTCATCCAGAAATGCGTAAAGGACTGGGTTCAGACAGCTGTTTGTGTAACCTAGAGCAATGCAGAAGTGCCAGGAAACAGTCTGAAAAGTAGTTTCTGGGATTGTGATCAAGGCTTTAATGATGACGTAAATGTGAATGGGGGTCCAGCAGACGATGAACACAGCTACGACCACCAGCACCATCCTGGTGATTCTCCGAAGGTTCCTGTCCTTCTCTTTGGAGCCAGAGAGCATACGGACACTCTTGAGGCGTAAGATCATTAGTCCGTAGCACACCGTAATGATGAGGACGGGCATGATGAAGGCGAAGATGAAAACACAGATTTTCAGCAGGTTTTCCCAGTACCAGGCTGGGTGAGAGAATGTTAGTGTGCAATCTACGGAACCTAGATGAAAAAAAAAATTACAAGGAAGAATTAGAAGCACCATTTAATTATGACATTAGGTATTAACATTGCCATCTTGCTTACTAATTTTTAAGCTTGACCTTAGCTAACGTAAGTCTATTAGTATACATGCTAGTAAAGAAGTATGTAAAGAAATGGTGGGAGAAACTCAGCTCTCTGTTGATTTTTAGAAATAGTTTTATTTATGTATTTAATTATTTATTTATTTCTAAAGACCTCATTTTGCTGTCCACTTTGGTCACATTAATTTTCATTCAGTCAACAATTATGGACTTCCAACCATGAGCTATGTCCTCTACAGGATCTATGTTGATATACAAAATATAACCACTGCCCAAAGTCTATCGGGCATTCCAGCTAATGGATGCTTTCACTCCACTTTTTGATGGGTGGTTGATCATTCTGACATGAGGTCTAGAAAGATACATTTTTCTTTATGGAGCAGCCACTTGAAATTATAAAACAAGCCCCCGCTTGCTTTGGGTTTCAGTTCTAATTACTCTTGGAAGAACTGTATTTTTATTTTCTCATCATTTTGATGAAATGCAGAGGCATCCAGAACCAATAGATTATATTCTCTTTGAAATGTTTAGCGGCCTTAAAATCACAGGGAAAATTCCCATTTCCAAAATTATTCAAAGGCATTTTTCTAGAAAACAATTTTATTAAAATCACAGTTTGACTAAGACATTGGAACACTCCGAAAAATTCTAGTTGGCTTATGACTTCACCAGCATTTGGTTCAATAAGCTCTCCATCCCTCGGGCCTGCAGCATCACTCACCATGCCTGTACTTTGTTGTCGCCATGAACATCACAGGCAGGCCGATGGCTGAGGAGAGGATCCAGTTGCAGACATTGATGATTTTGGCGTTGCGGGGAGTGCGGAAATCCAGGGCCTTGACAGGATGGCAGACGGCGATGTAGCGATCCACGCTCATGGTGCAGAGCGTGAATATGCTGGTGAACATGTTGTAGTAGTCTATGGAGATGACGATCTTGCAGAGGACGGTTCCAAACGGCCATGTTCCCATGAGGTAATTGACACTCTGGAATGGCAGGGTACTGGTCGCCAAGGCATCGGCCAGAGCAAGGTTAAAGATATAGATGTTGGTGGCTGTCTTCATTTTGGTGTATCTAGAAAACGAAGGAAGAGCAGAGGCTGAGTCAGAAACAGGCAGCAATGTGAAATACTGGTACACTTCCAAGAATTAAAAAAAAAACAAACCTGCAAGGATTAGCGGAAAGCATTTGAGATTCATTATGGAAGAACTGTTTTCTTAGAGAGGGAGAGAGATAGGAACATCAATGATGAAGGAGAATCAACCTGGGCATGTGCCATGATCAGGAATTGAACCATGACCTCTTGGTTCGTAGATTGATGCTCAACCACGGAGCAAAACAGCATGGCTGATAGTAGATTGGCTATTTATAGCCATGTGCCTATAGGCTAAATATATAATTTCTCTACCTATCAGTTTTCTTACCTATAAAATGGTTGTGATAATAGGTATCATACTGATTTATTTATAATGGGCCAGGCACAGGTAGCTCTCAGTCATGTATCCAGACACTGGATAATAATTCATTTTAATTCTAAATATATATAAAATTCAGATTTTTATAGTTAAAATTGTGGAGCATGGTGTGAGAACATGTCCTTATGTCCATCCATGTGCCACTTCTCTGGAAATGAAAGGAGAGATGCTTCCATTATGGCTAAGAGACTTTGCTTAATCATCTTTAACTTAGACTTTTAGGAAGTACTTATTTCCTGCTTTATTTGATTTCTGCTCATTCTACTTTAGGACATGAATAGCATTTCTTTGATCAGAAGTTTATATCAAAATCATGTTTTGCTTTCTTGATTCCTGTATTCTGATATAACTAATATTTATGTCACATAGACATATATTACTAGGCTAAATCCTTTGATGTATATAAACCATTATAGTAGGCTGGAATAGTCTTATTCGTGACTTTAGATCTTTGTTTGCAGATATGTAGATTATTCATCCCTTTAGACCAAATGACTTCAAAAACAGCATCAGAACATCTGTCTCAGGAGATAGTACATTTGGGTTCATAGATAAAGATGTTCTGTATTTCTTATAAATACTTAGTTTCCAGAGCTTGGAAATTATTTGCTTTCAAATTTGAGAGTTCTAAAAGAAAATGAAATTTCTTCTATTTTAAAATCTAGTAATGTGTATGTAAAAAAAATCATGTGTACATAACGTCGAATAATGTTATATCCCTAGGTATTTCTTACATATTGAAAGAACAATGAAAATGACTTCAAAATAGGATAAAATAATTTTATACATATTAATATTAGAAAATTGTTTTTTGAAGAAACCTGAGTGTATGTTGTAGATTACAAATATTTTAGAGGGCATAGTCAGTAAAATTATTATCTATTGTACTTAGTACAATAAATAAAAAGCTTTATCTATATTTTTGGTGAGGATATTGTACATATAATCACTCAATATAAGTAAAATATAAAAGACAGCACGAACATAAAAGTTAAATGAAATAAAGATAGAATTGGATTATCCATTTGGCACAGAGCCCAGCGCAAGATGAATACAGTAAATGCTTGTTGAGTAGAATTAAATGTAGGAGGAAGGGTTTGGGTGACTTTACTTTTTTTGTGGTGTAATGAAACAAACTTTAACAAAGGAAATCTTAAGCTTCTGAAGTAAAAGTGAACAGGGAATATTCCTTTTGGCCTTGTCAACTTGTTGTTAAATTAAAAAAGAACTTTGGTCATAGAAGGTCACGGATGATGAGAAGTAGGAGCATGAAGAGCTTCGAAGACCACATTGCGTGACTACCTTGCATCATGGCTGGAGATCCCGAGGGACAGAAAGCTGTGCAAACATTTGAGATTTTCTCCCATTTTTCTAGATTCTATGTAAAACTAAAAATGTGCCTCTATGCTGTATGCTGGGCCATGTGTCATTTTGGGAATGCATTTCTGAAAATGTTGTAGTTTGTCCCAGAAATACTCAGCACGCTGTTAGCTAAAACATGGTAAGCATGCAAAGCTTTTTCATATTCTTTTCAAAGATGCCGATGCCGGGGCCATTGGAAATCCTGAGACTTAAAAAATAAAAATCCAATGTGGTAGCAGAATTATATTTTTTAGAGGAGTGTTGAGTTTGTTCCATTTTTTTTTTACTCTCTAATAATCCATAGTTTAATACTATCAACTCTAGGACTCACAGTCCATCTCTTCAGTTTTTTGACTGCCTTTCCAACTTTCTTTTGAACATCTGTGCCTGCTATTGGCTTCCTAAATGCAGTACTTCCCAAAGTGTGTTTTTCCTTTCTCATACATATCACCACGATCAGTGACAGCAAAATAATCAGTAACAGTTGTTGGAGCCAGGATTCAAGCCCAGGTTATTTGTGGGTCATTAGCTACAATGCTTTGCTAGTTACTAACCATCTCTTATTATGTTTTATTTGCGTCTCGTTTCACGAAATAATTTCTTTCATCCCCTGAAGATGTTAAATAGGTTATTTTCAAGTCCTTGTATGATTGCTATTTAACTCTGTTTCTTTAAGTGTAAATCCTTTTGTTTGTTGTGTCCTCCCCCAATGTCTTTCATGGTATAGTCATTCATTCACAATCCGATTATATTGATTTTGAGTTGATCCCTGAAGTGAAGATGTCTTGGTAGATTGCTCGCTGTTTCTGCTGTGTGGGTTGACCGAGACGGGAGCTGCAATTAGACTGCACCATACAGTTTCCAGTAAGAGCAGAGGACGGCATGGGCTTGAGGGAGACACCGTGCCCTGGTGGCTGCCTTTTAATCCTCCAGAGCATTGCTGGTCTCCTAGGTACAGCCAGTATCTCTGCCCCAAGCACTGCACTGCACCAGTTTTCAAATGGACATTGTGTCGCCTTTCTGTGTCACCTGTAGACTGGAAAACACACCAGCAGCAACTGACAAGGCTGCCACTACTGTGGAAATCCACTCCATTGTGGAAAACCCTCCTTATGAACTCATATTTCATGAATGAAGTCATCAATGACCCTAACACTCTTGACCTGCCTCTGTTGCATCATTCACTTCTTTCAAAAGGAGAAGGAATGGCTTTTATGTATATACGTTAAGGTTGAAGAATAGGATATACACCGTTCTGTCCCTTCCACGGTCTCTTCCTAAGGTTCAGCTGCCCAAAGGAAACACATATGGTAGCCAACTATTCCAGGTAGTAAGTTTTAAAGGGATTGGTCCCCATATTAGGAGGTTAGTTGTGGTCCAGGTCTGTGACTAGATGTGTTTGTGTATTCATTCTGGGATTAGAATTAGGAAGCTATTATAACTGCACAGCTAAGTCACAGCCACCAGCAAAGTATTTGCCAACAATAAAGATGATGTATTTTTTTTCTATCTGCTGATTCATTTCATCTTCTCAATTTGTCCGAGCATCAGCAGGGGAAGAAGGAGTGACATTTCATAGGATCCTTTAAACATTCAGGCTGCCTACCAAGAATTTCCCCATCATTTTCATAAATTTGTGTCTGGCTTTTCATTGATCTATTGCTTTAATTTGTTTTCTTTAAAAAATAATTTCTAAAAGTTGTTCTAGAGTTTGTTCTCAATCAGCCATCCTGAAAATGATACATTGCATAGGAATACCTTTAAACAAGGTTTTAATCTGAGTATTGTATAAAAGCATACCTGGTGCTCTTAATGAACTTGAGAATAACTTTCAACCTTTAGCATGCTTGCACATGAAATCTTAGTCTTGTGTAATAAATGTGACAATTATATGGAAATCATGTTTTGTCGTTTAGTCTGTAAGCTTCTGGAGTATAGAGACCATGATCAGTCTGTACTCTTCAGCCTGCTTGGCTGAGTGACGTGATGAGTCCTCCTGATCCTAGGCCTACAACTAGATGTCTCTTTAAATAAGACAGTCCTGCTCACCTCACAGAAATGCTTTCTGCTTTCCTGTCTCATGTCACCTTACTCTTCCCCACATTGATTCCCATTATTGTCTCCCTCCATTGGCAGAGGAGAAGAGAGGATGGCATGTACTGTAATAGTAGTGAGGTTGCGTAATGGTGAGAAAGAAAAATGCTCCTGAGAGGTTTTGGGGAGCCAGTTTAGTTGCCAACAGCCAGGCTGTGGTATTCATTTATGGAACATAATTCTTTAGAATATCAACTTCAGATGAGGACTTTCCATGACTGTGATGCAACAAGCCAAAAGACGTCTCTATAACCAGACCTGACAGAGGTAAAACCAAATCATCAGAACCTCAAAAATGCCCAGCCTCTCCCTCTCCTGGTTAACATGAGGTGTCCACTGCATCTTATTCAATGATTTAGAAGCCTGGTGAATGAAATTCATGCCTCGGGGGGTGGGAGGGAGGCCCCTCAGCCCGGATTGTGAAAGGGCATAGGACAGGCCGAGGGACGCCATGGGTGAACGATCGGGGCCAGGGAGGGACATGGGAGGTTGGCCAGCTGGAGAGAGACTGCGGGAGGGCTCCAGGACATGTCTGGCCCATCTCGCTCAGTCCCAATCAGCCTGACCCCAGCAGCAAGCTAACCTTCCAGTCAGAGCATCTGCCCCCTGGTGGTCAGTGCACATCATAGCAAACAGTTGAGCAACCTTAGCATTTCATTAGCATATTACACTTTGATTGGTTGAATGGCCGACCAGATGATTGGACACTTAGCATATTAGACTTTTGTTATATAGGATGACTCTAGCCTTACTCTGCTAATTCAGCCTCTAGATAAGAAATTATTGGTGCCCATGTGTCAAATGACTCTTGGTTTGAGTAATACCCTATCCAGACAAATCTCTGCTTCCTTGAATTTCTCCTTAATCACCAAACATAAACTAAAATCCCAGTGGTGTCCCCTCTCCCCTCCTGAAGCAAGCTTAATAAGCCTAGTAGTTTGAGCTCCAAGTCTATTCTTAGTGGATTTTGGCTGGTGAGCATGGGTAGCAGAGTGTCCTTGGATCCTGAGATTGTCCCAGCAGCAGCAGGCCAGCAGCAATTAGCAATTGGAAGGAAGCAGTGGGAATTTTCCGGTGATGTCCACAGATGGGTACAAGCCACTTGGAGAGCACAGTAGCTACAACAGCTGCCTGTACCACAGG